GGCGTCCCCTGGGCAACCAGGGTCTATGCCAACCCGACGTCTTGCCCATCCGATGTGCACTGAGAACGAGATATGTGCAGGTCCTATCGGGATTTGTCGGCACATTCGGGCGGTCTTGCTGGTCTTATTTTACCATTGTTGAAATGTCTTGTAACCAGGATTCCGAGACTGATCGGGTCTTTCCGGGAGAAGGAATATCCTTCGTGGACCGTGAGAGCTTGTGATGGGCTAAGTTGGGACACCCCTGCAGGGTATAAACTTTCGAGAGCTGTGCCCGCGGCTATGTGGCAGATGGGAATTTGTTAATATCCGGTCGTAGAGAACTTGACACTTAACTTAATTAAAATGAATCAACCGCGTGTGTAGCCGTGATGGTCTCTTTTCGGCGGAGTCCGGGAAGAGAACACGGTCTTGTGTTATGCTTGAACGTAAGTAGCTTTCAGGATCACTTCTTGATCACTTCTAACTTCTCGACCGTGCGTCGCTTCTCTTCCCACTCTTATTTGCGTATGTTAGCCACCATATATGCTTAGTGCTTGCTGCAGCTCCACCTCACTACCCTTTCCTACCCATAAACTTAAATAGTCTTGATCTCGCAGGTGTGAGATTGCTGAGTCCTCGTGACTCACAGATACTTCCAAACAGTTGCAAGTACCGATGATTCCAGTGCAGGTGACGCAACCGAACTCAAGTGGGAGTTCGACGAGGACCTTGTCGTTTCTATGTTTCGTTTCCTGTTGATCAATAGTGGAGCCCAGTTGGGACGATCGGGATCTAGCATTTGGGGTTGTCTTCTTTTATTTTTGGTTCCGTAGTCGGACCTTGATTTTACTCTGGATGATGTATGTTTAACTTGTTATTTGTGTGAAGTGGCGATTGTAAGCCAACTCTTTATCCCTTTCTTATTCAATACATGGGATTGTGTGAAGATTACCCCACTTGCGACTTAACTACCATGCGGTTATGCCTCTAAGTCATGCCTCGACACGTGGGAGATATAGCCGCATCGTGGGTGTTACAGCCATCAACTAGGTAGTGCAGGCTATGGCGTGTTGGAATAAGGTCTCGGCCTCTCCCTACCTCGATGACATTAGATTTGGCATCGACACAGGGCCTATGAGAGTTTGTGTCCCAAGAACTGTTGGCTCTCGCCAAATCTTGGTGGTTGGTGTGTCCTTCAAGGAGAGCATTTGGCTGACCATTGGTGCGGCAACTTCAGCATCTTCTTCTGCGATTGTTTTGCGGCATGGTCCGGTTTCTCCAACCTTCTGGACCGGTAGATATAAATTGCAAGCGTGTTTGGCATGGGGCGATGCTCCAACCGATGCTTTTTCGGTGATTTCTAAATCTTGTCTCAAGGGCGAGTGGTTATTACGGTCTTTAAAGCCCGGTATGTCGGAGACATTTGCAGGTATCCCTTTCTTTTTTGTTGGTTCGATGCAATTTTTAATCTTCAGCTGGCGGCATACAATCAAAAGAAGAAAAAGGCTAGTATGTCTTGCAATGTAATTTTATTTTATACCTTTTGGTCAGCATCCCCTGGTGTCCATTTGATTGACTATTGTTTTCCTTAATAAATATCAGACACCCCTGGTGTCTCTTAAAAGAAACATTCGGCTAGTAAACACTAAATACATCCGGTTGAAAGATGTTTTGCATCTAGTCCTTGCACGCATTGCAATTTCGGGAGGCAATGTCACTGGCAACTAAATGGCTTGAGGCAATCCCATCCGTTAAAGTTTGAGTTGGACTGCTGTATGCATGATTTATTACCACCCACACCATTAGTAGAAAATACAAAGGTGAATTATGAAATGATTCCCATGTTCAACACAAAATTCAGACTTCTTCCCGTCAGTTTTGTCAGTTCAACATTGTATCTCTGTATGCTCTCCCTACACAGACCACACCACGCTAGACTTCTTTTTTTCTTTCTAAAAAGAGGATGCATTTCCACAGAATCATATATGGTTTCTTTCATTTGAATTCTGTGAGTTATTGTTTGCAAGGGCCTCGAATGGTCAAATGCTTGGAACCTCCACAATACTGGACAGGAGGTCCCTTAGCTCCACCATCACAACATCCTGCTCACCCTTAACCTGCAAATGGAGACATGGAGAAGAAGCCGGCCGCCTTATCAGAAGTTAAGCAGTATAATCTAGCAAATTCTGCTGCAGGCAAAAATTGTGAGGGTTTTTTACCTCAATGCAGAAGAAACTCTCTGCATAGCCATAGTAGGTGATGGTGTTGAGGCTAAGCACCTGCACATTGTAGTTGCAGAGTGCCTCCAGCACCTTGGTGAAGAGGCCTGCCCTTTTGGTCCAGAAGATCTTGAGGTTGTACTTACAAGACCCCAGAGGTATCAGCTCCACCTGACCCTGCGAACATGAACAGCTCAGTTAGTATGCGAGAAATCGGCTGGATATCACAACTGACTCCGGAGGCGATGAAGCAATGCACAATACTACGTTATACCTTTGTACCTTGTACACAAATCTGTTCTCTTTTGTAAAACTTGGCCTCCTAGAAATACTCGGGTAGGTTTTATTGGGGTAAGAAAAAATGCATGACTACTTTATACTAGACAAAATAAAAGTGTGAATTTCTCGCCTTGGTTTGGCTGTGTTTAGAAGTGGTTATATTCTGAAAAGTATTTGGCCAGTGTGGTGAAGTTGAGCGATCGTATTCTGCAGATTGCGGCATTGGTTGGTTGATCTGAATTTCAGGTTCTCGTTGGGTTATGTTTTTTTTTACTCTGGTATATAGTTATTCATGGCTCATAGCAGGGGTTACTACGTACGTACCTGATAATGGATGTTGTCGGTGGGGGCGAGGGATTCGGAGCAGGAGGCGCTGCCTTGCTTCTCCCAGGCCTCGCCGGGCGAGTCGGCGAGCTGGCTCTGCAGCTCGAGGACCTGGTTCTGGAGCTTCTTGATGTGACCGATGGCGTCGGCCAGGGTGGACTCCTTGCTCATCTGAAAACAACACAACAACAAGGTCGGTGAGTGTCAGGAATGTCAACCGAGTTTTCACTTTTCTCCCAGGAAGAAACAATTTTTTCTTTCAAAACTAATTATTATTATTATTTCGTTCTTTGCAGACAGATATGTCCGGAGAAGCAGAGGCAACTTCCTCTGTCCCGCCCGATTGTTGGGTGGGGTGGGGTGGGTGTGTGATCAGTGCAGTTAATCGCTGCTGGAAGAGAGGATTATGGAAGGAAGCACCTTTGTGATGTTGGGCACGACGGCCCTGAGCTTGAGGATGTTGGTGTTGAGCCTGCCCCTCCTCCGGCGCTCGGCGTCCAGGTTCTTGGACTTGTACTGCGTGGCGTCCGCCGCCGGCAGCTGCTCCCCCTCCTCGCTCTCCTCGCCCTCGCCGCCGCCGCCCAGGTTCAGCATCGACTCCACGAAGTCCTCCATCTTCACCTCCTCGCCGCCGCTGCCGCCGCGGGAGGCCCTCGGGCGGCGCGGCATTGCTCGCTGGCCGGCCGCTAGGAGGGTCGATCGAGGAAAAAGATCAAGCTGGATGGCTGCGTGCCTCCCGGTCGCCCACCGAACGAGACCAGAGGGCAGCGCCGTGCAGTGTCACTCACTCTCACTCACCCTCCCTCCTCTGCTGCTGCCGGTGCGGTGCCTTGTGGGCATCTTGCGCCTCGGGTGGTGGTAGCTTATAAGGACGGGACGGGGCTGAGGAGAGGAGGAATCTCGCGGGAAAGCAACCGCAAAGGAAGGGCTCCAACGCAAACGCAAGTGAGATGAGACGGTGTGCTCCCTCCCTCCCTCCCTCCCTCCTCGTGTCCTTGGAGAGAGCCGAGTTAGTTGCGGCGGCACCTGATGCGGTTGGTTGCGCTGTTGACTGACTGCACCGAGGTAGCGAGCGAGGAGCTCCCGGTGTTCTTTCCTCCCTCTTCACGGTTACTACTACTGAAAAAGGTGGTAAAGTTTCAGGTGTGATTGGGTCATGGCGCTCATCGGCATTATGATTTCATGGCTGTATGCATCGCTTGATGGGTACTCCTCCTTTTCGAAAAAAAAAACGGTATTATGATTTCGAAAATGGGTGGTACACGTACAGCAGACGATGGTACAGCGAGATCTCTGAAGCACATCCTATGATTTCTTTCTTTCCGGTACAAGATGCTGCGGCGCAAGATCGAGCAGTGCGTTATTTGATCGGAGGGGGCTCTTCAGTCTCTCTCTGCAGCTTTTGGGCAACCCGGTAACCGAAAAGACGTAGTGCTACGTACGCTGGATCGATGGATGGATGGACCAGCGTGTGTAGATCAGTGCAGGATCATGGGAATTCTCAAAAGGCAGAGAGGTACATGCAGATATATCTCGCGTACTACACCAATGATCCGGCAAGGACTCTGAAACTTTATATCTTTCCCGATTTCTTTCTTTCTGGCACAGTAGCTGCATTGCATTGCATCTCAATCTCAACGAGTACACCGGACGCTCTGAGCTGATGCTTGCGTTGGTTGGAGTTCCTCTGCCCCTCAGTTTGCTCCTAGTTATTGTGTTGCGTCAGTGCAGCGAATGTATTGCTGCGTCGATCTGTTCTGTGGTCCGAAGAATCCATCAAGACCGTTCTGTTAGGTTGATCTCTCCACCTATGGGCCCAACGGCTCATTGGGCCCTTGACCCACGCCCTGATCGGGGGTGTCCAGCCCAAGCAAGGCTGATGGGCCCCTATCGCGCAGTGCTATAAAGAGGAGGTGGGGACCAGGGGCACAGGGTACGAGGTTCGTCACCGCCACTATTCCCCACTCCTAACCCTATCCGATCCAGAGGGAGGCACTGGAGCGATGGGAAGCTCCACCGCCGCCACTCACGCACTTCACCGTCGACCTCTACACCAACCGTCGATGCCCGTGCGCAGACCTTCATCGAAGGACCAGCTATGGCCGGAACGCTAAGGTATACGCGCAAACAGATCATAGATAGTTCAATCTACTCCGAAACCCTAGCCTAGTCGATCCCATGGTTTTAACAATGGTATCAGATGCTGTCAAGGGCTTGATTTTGGGTAGAAACAGAGAACAGGGACCCTCCCCTTACCAGATCGGATCGAATCCGAACCCTAAACAGAGGGAAAAAAAGTTCTTGAATCACTTTACAGAAAAGTGCGCCGCCACTGAGCCGCGCTGTTCCTCTCGATCTCGATGCGCATCGGCGAGCCAAGGCATCTGGGAAGAAGAACACCACCCCTTCGGGGGCAAAGGGCACCACCACCGAGCCGCTTGACGGCAGCGCGTTCACCCTAGGGTGCTCGCGCATGCCGGCAAAAGGGTCGGCAGGGGCGCCATCTTCACACGCACGCCGGCACAGGGTAGCAGCAGGAGCCGTCGCGGCTCTCTCTCTCACTGGCCAGTAGGCGGTGGTGGATGGAGAAAGAAAGAAGGGGAGGAAGAGAAAGCGTGGCGCGGTGGCCGTCGCCGCCGTCGCCGGCGGCCAGGCGCTGCGCGACACAGTGGCCCGGCGATGGGGATCAGAGGAAGGTTCGACCGGGACCTCTCTCTCTTTCTCTCTGTTGCTATTTGCAGTGGTGGACAGAAAGGAGAACAGGAAAGGGGAGAAGAAAGAGAACACGGCCAGGCTCGCGCAGCGGTGGAACTCGTCGCCGTCGCCGGTGTCAGGTGCGGCGCGGTGGCCCGGCGTACGGGAGAGAGGCGCACAGAAGTTTGTTCAGCCGATCCGCGCGCTGGACCGTCGGATGGAATCCGACAGTCAGGCAGCAAACCCTAGCTCGCTGCTGGGCCGCTGGGCCAGAAAGGGAGCAGGCGAGAAGGCCGTGGGCCGGTTTCTCACCGCGGGGAACAGGCGGCACTCGCCAGCTGGCCGTGGGCCAAGAGCAGCAGGCCACAGAGCGACGCGCTGAGCGGGCTGTGGGCCGCCGGCGTGAAAGGAACGGCCCACGCACAGAGTTTCCTCTGATAATTTTTACAGAGCACCATTTTGATGTTTTTTGTCCAGTTTTTGGGCAGATTTCAAACAATTTTTCTATGCAAAATTTTCCAACGAAAATATTTGTTTAGAAAATAGAAAAAGTAAACAGAAAGAGTTTCTGAAAATAAAAAAATAGGAAATTTTTTTAAAAAGAAATTGTTCATGAATTTATAAAGAAAATAACAAATTTCATGAATTTTTATTTAGTCAAAGAAAAGTTTCTGCAAACAGTAAAAAGTTCATGAATTTTTTATTCATGTTTTTCCGCTGCGTAAATAATTAATAGTACTATTTTACAAAGAAATAAAAAGTATTATCCTTCAATTAAATTGGAACCAATGGGAAAATTTAATTGGATGAACAGTTTTTTGAGAGAAGTTTTTTCACTTATGGGTGAAATCAAATTCAGATAGCTTCTGCTATGACAGTACAAAGATATTTGATTAAAGTTTAATTATGGTATTTTTATTTTCTGACCAAGGTTGATGATGACAATATTATAATTCAATGAGTCTTGTAGTTAAAAAGTTCAAATCTCTGATAAATTTTGTATCAAAGTGACCTTTTTTCAGAGAATTTGATAAAGACTGAGAAATGTATATTGCTAGTTTTCCGCTGCAATAAAGTTGATGATGATTATCATTTCTGAGCAAAGTTATTTAATAGAAATACTATCATCACATTATTCATGAGTTATATGCATTATTTCCATTTCCGCCCAACGGTGATATGGAATTAATGTAGAAGAATGAGTTTTATTCTAATTCTACCAGAACGATGCTTTAGAGTATAAAAGGAAGTTTTGCAAAAGTTTATTGTGCATATTTTTTAACCAGACCAACGTAGGGTTATTTTTATGCTCATTATTGCTGATTATTGGCTAAGTTTTCTCAGACCAAAAGTTTTCCATGCTTTCATTCATGAAAGCGAATGGTTGGGTACTTGTGACCCGAAAGATGACCAAGAAAGGTCATAACGTGAGATAGTATGTTCTCTCTAAAGAATCGTTTCAAAAGAAAAGAGATAGATCATTGAGAGTCTTGGTTGATGAATGTCTTTCATGTACTCTCTATGATTTGAGATAAAACAAGCAACATGCATGTTTAATTTGACCAACGTCGAATCAAGCATGTGTGTCAAAGAGCATTCGGATTTATTTATAAATTTGATGATTGAATATGCAGTCAAAAGAGCCAATTCTGGCATTTATGTCCCTTGCAGGGAATTACCCGCATGGCGGGAAAAGATGATTATGACAAAACCCGCATGGCAGGATAAGTCTGGGAAAGTCCCTGCGTAAACCGTATGGCGGCAGAAATTTTCTCAGACTTATCCTGTATGACAGGAGAAAGACATGATGACTCATGTGCTTTTAATATGTCCCACTCTGGGAGAAAAGTATGGAGTAGCTATTATGCTTTCCTAGTATCGACCGTACATCTTATGTGTAACGGTCATTAAGCACTCAATAAATCCAAAGAGAATAAAAGTTACAGACGAACCTAAAGATAAGAATGATATGCAAGTGTGACTTGCAAAAGTACTAATGATAAAGAACTCTGTTGAGTTTCTGAAATAGAATGAGGAAAAAGTACTCCTGATAAATGAAGTAGATAATCGAAGTTTCCTCATTCACAAGAGTTATGAATGGCTTTTCGAAATTGTGGCAGAAAAGTTCTTGCCACATTTCGAGGGGGAGAAAGATATATGAGATAAATTAAGAATGATGAAACTCCCCTATACTTTAGATAATGTGATAAAGAATGTGATCGTGTGGGGGAGTATGACGGTCATATTAATACCCCTAAAGAAAAGAAATAGATGTATTCCTGGATCTTTTACAATTTCGAAAGCAGACTAAGGAATACTAAGATGATGCTTAAAAGTGCCATAAAGAAGAAAGTTTTAACAGAATAAACCCAAACAATAAAGTTTAAAGATACGCCTTTTTAGTGAAGATGGAGTAATCTGGGGGAGCATGTTGTATGACGTATACAACACCTGATGTTAGCTCTATAAAGGATGAATGAGTACACATGGATCTTGTAAAACTTGTTGCCTCTTGGAAATGAAAGACTATATAATTAATTTGCCTCTTGGCAATGACAGAGCAACAACAACCCCATATGAAAGAAGTGCCAGTACCTGAGACACCGATGGTCTCAAGGAATGAGAAAATCAGATACTTTTGATTACTATAAAGTCTATGTTAGTGAAATTCAAATGGAGGTTGATCCCACCTCATTTAAAGTTCTCATTCGAGTTTTGAGAAGTGTCTGCTTATCTAAATGATAAGAGACTATGTGAGATGAAATGAAATTAGTGAATCCCGACGATGTTTGGGACTGATGAGTAATTTCCAATGGAGCCAAAACAGTAGGCTGTAAAGAGTCTACAAGCACAATCTGACTCCAAAGGAAATACGTAAAGGTGTAAAACACGACTTAAATCGAAAGGTTTTTGCGTGTTTTGCACTGAATAGATTACAATGAGTGTTGGTAGCACATCATGATCTAAGTTACATC